CGCGCGGCGAGGTGCGCGAGGCGCTGGCGAAAAATGTCGATATCTGGATGCGTCTGCAGCGGATCTTTTACCTGGCCGTTCCCATCCTGGTGTCGCGGTCGCTGCGCGAATCGTATTCGGAACAGGGGGTTCCTGCCGGACCGGACGTCTCGGAGAGTGTGGCGCTCATTTTGAAGAATTTTGAAGTGCTGACGGAGGATTTGGGATATTTGAATAATTTGCTCGTGGTGAGCAGGAATATGTTGGCGGTTAAGGAGACGGCGCAGGAGATTTGTAGGGCGGTGGGCTTGGATAAGCAGGTTCATAAGTTGATTATACTGTGTGTGAATGTGACGAGTAAGGGGTATGATGGGGAGAATGTGGATGATAATAGTAGGGGGAGGTTGAATGAGGTGACGGAACTTTGTGAGTTTGGTTTCTGTTTTGTTTCCTGAATTGGGGTTGGTATTGGGGATGCCATTGCTTTGGTTCATCTTGAGTGAGGATTGGGTTTGTGGATGATACTAATTTCTTTCGCAGATAAAAAACTTCTGGTCACTTGTTTACAGCATACGCATAATTGGACTATGGGTAATGATAGATTCAAGATGTCATTTTGGTTCGATATGCTTTTCGATAATGATCTGCATAATGATCCGGTTCATGAACTTCCTCCGGATGATTTGAATGTGGAGAAGGTTTATCATGAGGTTAGGAATTGGTTGGCTAGACATTCGGCAGATCAGGATGAGACGGCCAAGGAACTTCTGGAGAAATACGCTGCGGAAGCTGACATGGATTGCACACCTGGACCGTTACCACAAATTGACGAATTCACTGTGACTGATGCGGATAAGGAAGATGATCCGGAGGAAACGACACCGGTTTGGAAACCTGAATTGACGGATAAATATGAGCAAGATCGAATTTACGCCCGTGTATCACACGAAATTGATATTTGGTGGAAGCGCCAAAGGGATCAGAATTATGAAGGATGGGTTGTGAAGATGGTCACTGTGGAAGATGCGATAAAGCGTGCGGAGGCTTGTAAAGAAACTGCCATGGAAAGATTTCTTCCTCAACGAGCTTTCCAGGATCAGGATGCTTATGATCAGGATGAGCAGTTGGAGGAACCACCTCTACACGATGAGATTGATGGCGATACTCGGTCGATGGATGGTCATGATGGAGAAGATGATGGCGAAGAAGAGGATGAGGAGGATGATGATGAGTCTTATGCCGAAGGGCCTTTGAGAGGTCTTTTGACCGAAATTCCTAACATTCTAGACACGAAACAAATCGAAGCTCTTCACATGACCGTTAAAGCTTGTATTGTCGATTCAATGGGCTCAGGACTTACACCAGCTGGTGAGAATCTTCAGAAGACACGGTGCAAAATGTTTTTGGCTTTGGATTGTGGCAAAAATCTTCTTCGAGAAATGTTGGTTTTCATTGCTGTTTGGGAACAAACTGATCAACATTTCATTTTCCAAATTACTGCTCAAATTATCGAGTCCTTCCATCATAATGCTTTATTGCCATATGCTTGGAGCTCGCTGAGGATTATGAAGGATATTGTATCGCCGGCACAAACTGTTCTGTTACGTCTCATCAACTACATGTTCCGCGCTCGGAAGGATAGTCCCATCTACGATGATCTAAGAGATTACAACAGAGATGCAAAACTTATTCATTTCCTCTTTACATATTTCCGTACACGAGTCGTACCTGATTGTATCGCCCTTATTCACGCGCAAGCTCAAATTCGAACCAAAAATAGCGATCCTAATGATTTCCCCGTCGATTTATGGGATATGGAACGTGCCAAAGATGGACTCTCGCAGTATCTCGATTTCATATCTGTTATTGCCGAAATACCAGAGATGCGACCACTTCTTATTGAATGGGAGGCAGTCTATGAACTTATCGCTCTTCTTAGAGCTCTTGATTTAGGTGTTGCTAAGAAGAATCTTTCGGAACAACCATTACCAAATCGGAGACAAGCACCTGTTCCTCAACAGGGAGGAGGTATTCAAGCAACAGAACGACCATATGAAAGTCCCACATCTCAAAATGCACCACAGTTCCCGGGTCAAGGACAATCTCTTCCTCCTCTTCATGATACCCCACATAAATTTCCTTGGTCGGGTATTAAAATTCAAATACTTATCATTCTTACCTCACTTGTGGCACCTAATAATCCACGCAGACAAGGACCGGGAAATCCAATTGTGCAAAAACAATTGCTTAACCAGGATGGAATTATGCCGTTATTGAATTGTTGTGTTTATGATGGACATAATGAGTATTTGAAGGAGAGAGCAACGCTAGCATTGAAATATGTTATGGAAGGTTGTGAGGAGGCGCAGAAATGGGTTAAGGATTTAGTACCGGCTGGGAAACAGAGGGCGGCGGCGGGTGCGGGTGCGAATGGTGCACAGGGAAATGGAAATGCGAATGGAAGTGGAAGTGGAAGTGGAAGTGGAAATTCACGGGCAGGAGGAGGGGTCCCGGCAACTACGAGTGCAGCTTCTAATGGATTGCATATGCAAATGTCGGTGGGCAATAGTATCGATGTGGATCCGACGTTGCAGTTGGAAAAGTTGAGATTGCAGGAGAGGGTTAGGATTGCGGAGCAGAAGGCTAGGGAGATGAGGGGGAGGGAGAATGGACAGGGGTAGAGATATGGGTGAGGATAAGCAGTGGGGAAGTGGATGGAGTGGTGAGGGTGATTGAGGGATGAAATGGGGTTGAAATGAGAATGAGAATGGTGGGTTAACAAAGGGAGATATTTGCATTGCTTGGCGTATTAAAATGGTGTGGGAGGGATACACGAAGGTATGGGATATGTGATGTGGGATTAGTAGAAAAGGGAGGGAAGCGAAGGGAAGGGAAGGAAAGAGAGGTATGATACCCTTTTTGGCGTTGCATTGGTATTGGTTTGGGTTCTTTGAATGAATGAGGGAATGATTGATTGATTGATTGATTGATTGATTGAGAATGATGTGTATAGTTAGTTTACGCAGCGTAGCATAGCATGGCAGGTTAAGGAATAGTAGAGGTTATTGCAGAATGAATTGATGTATGGTATGGTGTGTTGGAGTGATGTTTGGATTATTAGATAGAGAGAGAGAGAGAGAGAGAGAGAGAGAGAGAGAGAGAGAGAAATTTGAAGATTTTGAGAATACAAATGGGAGAGGGGGGGTGAATGAAAATGGGAATGGGAATGGGAATAAGAGGAGGGGGTATAAGGTAGGGGAAGATAGAATGGAAAGGTAATTGATTGAAAGGTGATTGATTGAATGGTATAGTAGTCTGAGAGAGGTGTAGTATTGAGAGGAAGATTGGAGTTTGAAGGGAGATTGGAAGGAAGCATTGAAATAGGGGGTTTGGAAAAAGATACTTAAAGAATAATATTCTCAAGAGAGATTTTCAAGAGAGATTTTCAAGAGAGATTTTCAAGAGAGATTTTCAAGAGAGATTTTCAAGAGAGATTTTCAAGAGAAATTTTCAAGAGAGATTTTCAAGAGAGATTTTTCAAGAGAAATTTTTGAAGAAGTATTTTAAAAAGAGAATGATTGAATGATTGAATGATTGAATGATTGAATGATTGAATGATTGAATGATTGAATGATTGAATGATTGAATGATTGAATGATTGAATGATTGAATGATTGAATGATTGAATGATTGAATGATGAATGATTGAATGATTGAATATTTAGAATAAATAAAAGAATAAAAGAATAAAAGAATAGCGGAATAATAATCTATTTATAAAATAAAATAAAAAAGTAAAATTTGATCATTTCCATAGTATTTATAACTCAAATATAATTACTTTTCTTGAATTTTATAGATAATACGAATAAAGCTTTTAGATATTTTATCATTGAATAATGAGAAGAGAGGTTCGTATTTCTTTTTATTTAGTTGGATTGGATTTATATTGATTATTTGTATTATAATTTGTTTTTATTTTGATTGATTTGATTGATTTGAATAAAGATTTGGGTTTGCTTTTTTTTCTGTGTGGAGGAGAGATGGGGGATGAATGGGGAATGGAGAGAGGGGAATAAAATAGAAATGTAGAAATGTAGAAATGTAGGAAGGTTAGAAGGGAGAAAGGGAGGAAGGGAGGAAGAGAGGAAAATCAAGTAGATTGTGTGGCTTTTTGAATTATGAGATCATAGGGAAATGTTTGGAAGGAGGTGGTTGGAGTAGAGCGTTTGAGAAAGTTTACAGAGAGATGTTCAGGGTATGAAGGGGAATAAGTATAGAGGAGCAGGATTGAGAGGTAAGATTGTTGAGAAGAAGGAAGTATATTGATGGGATATGATGAGATGAGAAAATAGCGAATGTATTTTATGTTTATATCATTGTTAGTATTGATCATTATTAGGGATTATCGAGAAGTGTGTCAGATGAGGAGGAACGAGGTAAAGAGAAATACAGAATGAAGAAATGAGATGATATGTTTTGAAAATTGCTCCACTTTCGTCCTTAATTAACAACTCTCAATTCGCTTCGTGGATGAAGGACTCTTGAGTATGAATTATCGGGAACATGCATGGAGAGGTTACTGAAATTAGCGAGGTGTATGAATGAAGAGCGCAAAGTCCGGAAAGTAATTTTTTCATCAACTGGGAAAAATGTCTAGAGATTACTAGCTAGTCTTCAAGAGTAGAGTCATCTAAGTTCCTAAAGGTATATTAGATAATCAATAATAGTTATTAATGGAGAATTAAAGTTGTGGTGTTGCCTAGGGTGTCAAATGAGGTGTCATGACCTCATTGTTGATAATTAGATTTGAGGTCGGTCGCGAGTTGGAGTTTTTTTTTGTGGCTATTTGGAGGCAGGCAGGATTGAATTTGTATGTTGAGTTTTGTACTTAAGTATTGATTAGTTGCAGGGTTTGATATTTTTTTTTCTTGGATTTATTATTAGATTATATTTGGAGTGTTGACTTTTCTTTTTACGCCGATTTTTTAGATATTTGTTCAATCGATTCGAATCTAGAGATGTCTACAGAACCAAATTATGTTTATGGTTCCGGTCCGATACCCCCTAGAGACAATCGAGATCGTCCATCTAAACGTGGAGATAATCATCATCCTGGATCTGCCACTCAAAGGGCTTCAATTTCTTCCAACAAAAACCCTTTTATAACTGAAGACAATCGCGGCATTCCTAATAGCAAAAGACCAATAGACATTAAAAAAATTAAGGACATTGATAATGTTAAGAACATTGATAAAATTAAGAGGAATGCACCTCCTCCCCCAAGTCATTCTGATGTACCATACCCTCCTAAAGTTGCACAGTCAAATGAAGGGAATTCCCGGAGAAGAGGAGGTACACAAGAGAATCCGAGCACAAAAGAAAGAAATGGGGGACATGGGAATGATGCGACAAAAGTCTTGAGGAGGAAGAAAGCATTTGTGATGAAATAAGTATTGATAGTGCAAGAAGGAGCATTGAGAGAGCAAGACGCATCGAGAAGAGCATGGAGGAAGGAAATGAAATTGAGGAATGAATAAGGATTGAGAGAGCAAGAAGCATTGGACGATGAGGAAAGGGAGGAAAGGGAGAGACGACACAGAGAAGATGGTAAGAAGAGCCGAATAAAAATGGAGAATGGATGAGATGGCAATATTGATAGGGATGGAGTACTAGGGAAAGTTGAGGATATCTAAAGAAGTTTCAATCGACATCTATATTTCCTAGGGGCCAGGCGGAATATTGGTCTTTTGGCGATTGCTACTCTAGTGCAGATATCAAATAGGATTTTATTTGCAGAAATCGGTTCCATCTCGTTCCATTTTTGAATTGACGATTGTTCTGTTGATTACGATGTGTTAATGTGAAGGAATAAAGTTTGGGCCAATTGTTCGGTCATGACGTGCCTAGAGTTGATTTTGGTCTGCGATTCAGTAACCTTCCTTCTGGCTTACTCACGGGCGTGGTTGAAAATGAAAATTAGGTACCTAATTTTGGTTATTGGAGTAGCTGGCATGGTGAATAAAGTATGTTGACTTGAATTTGTGAGTCAGGTGAGATTTTCCAGACTTTAGATGAAATTACAAATCTGAAGATAGACAAAGGGAAGATAGCATTCCAAGCTTGAAGGTTTGAAGCACGTATGGATAATGAATGATTAATTCTCGGAATATGTCTTCTTCAATGATGCACGTAGACTTAGACCAGCGATACAAACTCACGAGCGAATTTCATGATTTCCTCAATTTTTAAGCAGTAAGCAATGATTAGATGATAGACGTCATATACTAACTATATCATTATGGATAGGACATTCTTTTTTTTTCGAGATAGTTCATACGTTTACTATCAATATCAGTTTTACTAATGATGAGAATTGATACTACGAGAAATCATCTACCAGAAAAAGCTCCAAAGTAAGTAATAATTGACATCAAATCGGGGGTAGAAAGTAGGTATTATTTTTGAAGCTTTTGACGAATTGACTTGCATCCGAGAATTTATGTTTGAAATCCTTCTACTTCACGATCAAAAAGCTCTTGATTTATTATCTGAATACAAAAAAATATTGTTGAGATAGGAATCCTAAATTCTTAATAAGACCTTCTGAGGAGTATTGAATAAATTATAGTGACAAAAGAACAGAAGAACATTCAGTTATAATTGTAATTTTGAGGGCCTATTGAATCTCAAAAATACTTGATGGCCATGTTGAATCGGTCAGAATAATGAGCCCAACAATCAATGAAACTCGAATCGTACCGCGGAGTCCAACCGCAGACCAGCCGCAGACCTTGAAAGTGACCCCTTCACACCAGGCAGCAGATTAATTAATTCAAATTTATTTCGCGACATCATTCTTTTTCCATTATCTAAACATAACCGTCAAAGCCTGGTAACACAGCCATCAAGGTACACATCAACCTCAATCCCTCGCACAACCAAGCCTAGCACCCGACTCCAAACTTACTCATCCCGAACTCCCGCCCCACATCGGTACACCCCATCCCCTCGCTTAACCTTAGGGGAAAATCTCTGCAAAGAATTTTCTCCGCTTTGATGTTTGTAATATATTCCTACTTTCGATGCAATTTTCCAACAAAAACAATACAACGTCCGGCATGGTGTAGTGGCTAGCATTTCCGCCTCTCATTCGAAGCTTTCAAGCTTCAATCAAGTCGCGGGAGACCGGGGTTCAATTCCCCGTACCGGAATCTCTTTTTGAATTTTGTTTTTGGGAGTGTTCTTTTTTTTGAAATAAAATGGAAAATGGTAGGATAAAATTTTCATATATTTTTAGATTCGAGGTGTTAAGGAAAGATAATATATACCTGAAATTTGAGACATATATATAAATATTTTTGTAACTGATTTATTATTGAATTTTGATAAATATAAAGAAAATAAGAACCCTAAAAGATCTTAGATTTTTTTGAATATTAGAGTTGTAGGAAAGGTAGATAGAAGAGGATATATATAAAATTTGGAAAAGGTTAAAGAAACAAATAAAAGTTAAGAAAGAGAAGAAGAAACAAATAGGGATATGAGTATAAAAATAAAAAGATAGATAAAGATATTAATCGAAAGTTTAAAGGGAAGGAGGTTTTATATTTTACTATTCAATTTCAATTTATTCTTCAAATAAAAACTTTATTATTATGCTATATAATATTGAATGTATTAAATAAACAATAATATAATCTGATTCTAATACAAATAGACTTTTTACTTGAAAATGATTACCTCAGACTAAGAATTAAAATCAAGATTGACTTTCGAAATTCAAGAAATTCACTTAAACCCTATTAATTGAAATAAGCCTCGTCAAATATAAAGATTTAGATTAATCGTGTTAATACTTTAAAAATGATTTTTTCAATATAATATTAAGTATTAAAATTTTTATTATACTTAACAAAGCAATCACTTCATCAACCACAGATTCTGCCACCACAGGGAGTACGAAAGATGTAAATCCATCCGGCCTCTCCTCTACACATCTTCAGACAAGTAACAATTATCGAATTACACTACCATAACTCCTCTCATTTCCCCTTTCTCACCCTTCCATTAGTCCTCAATCATTCCAATACATAGACATTCTAGCCAGTAAACATATTCACGCCAATCACCATTATCTGCTGCGTATCGTCATACATATGGATGCATCAACTCTCAAACCCACAATAAGTCTCCTCACTCCTCAATCACTCACTCATCTACTATCCCTAACATCCTCACACAAAATGAGAGAAAGGACCACAATCGAAGCAATCCGATTGCTTCTCCTATCTTCCAAAAACAGCTTCTCTACTAAGAAAGCATTCATCAAAGTCATATACTCTAATCCAACCTCCTGTCATTCACAAATTCGGCGAGTTCTCCAAAGTTCTTCTCTCACTAGTCCAGAATCAAAGAAGAACCAAGAACCAAGAAACTCTTTCTTTCTTTCTTTCCTCCTAACTTCGCAATTGATTGATTGAGTATACTATATTCCTCACAGTCCTACTCTATAGAATACCCTGGAAACCTTCGGCTGTATCTTTGGCTTCGTCAATTGCCCCCTCAAAGCCTTACTGACTTTTCTTAACAGCACTCTGGACTTCTAGTCAGAAGAAGAAAGCATATTACTACAGTATTACTTTGCTGTACATACAATCTCAATCTATCTTATTCCACTCGTTAGTCTTCATAGTTCTACAATACACCCAATGGTGTAGTGGCTATGTTTTTGATGCAGTAGAAACTTCTTAAGCGAGTACATACATGCATCATGCATATACGGTCTACTGGCTAGCTTCATCAAGATACATAAATGAGCGTATAAAACCCTCTGTTCTTCTTTCTGTGACTCTCAAGAGCCTCATAGTTTAAAAACTTAAGAACATTTATTTTCTTTACAAACCACAAACTACAAGCACCGAACTCCTATTCCCCAAATCTCAACTCTTAACTCAACTCCAAATTTTCTCCTCCAAGACTTCAGAGCAACACTCAAACTATCAATCAAACCCGTAGATAAGTACTACTTGCTTGCTCGTCTACTTACCGGCTCATCTATCTACACATTCCAAAGAAACAGAAATGGCACCATCAGGAAAAGGTTACCCACCACCCGTCCCACGAGTTCTACGTCGTACACCTGGTGACGGTTCACCTCCACCTCAACCACAACCATCACAAGAACCAAGTCAAGCTCTGACCGCATTATCGAGATCTTTGAGAAATCCCTCCCCTACCTTCCCTAATCTCATTCCCAGATCTACACCACGTGCACGAGATATCGATCCTAGATTAGTATCTGTACCTGAATCTCAGCCACAGTTTCATCGAGACACATTTAGAGCCAACTCTAGAATCCAATCCCGAGCAGGGAGCTCACGACCTCCACCCCAAGATAACTCGCTTTCAAGACCTCGAGATCTTGTACCAAGACCTAGACCTAGAGCTATTCCTCATCTTGTACCAAGACCTAGATTAACTCCTATGGATAGGGATTTGATTTTGGGTCAAGGTCAAGGTGAAGGTCAAGGTCAGACACCAGTCCAGACTCAAGGTCAAACTCAAATTCAAGCGCAAGTTCCAGAAGATCAAAACGAAGCACAAACTGGAACTGAAACTAGAGCTCCAGAACGATCTCATTTTCAGGGGCAAGGTCAATTCCAGATACAACTTCAAGCTCAACTACCACCACATATCGACCAGCAGATTCGTGTTCAAAACCACGACGAATTCTATGCGAACTATCCCTCTCCATTTCCTACTAGGTCCTATCCTTTCTCAGATTCCCAAACGACAATTGCGCCTAGAGACCGAAGTTTAAATCAAGAATCCCACCGAAATCTACATCAACGTCAATTTCCAACACAAGTCCCTTTAGAAACTCAAAATCGAGATCAAAATTTCTATGATAATTATCCATTTCCTTTTCCTACTCCACAAAATCCTTTCTCAAACTATCAAGCGGGCGTTTCATCCAGAGATCAAGAACTCCATCAAGGCACCAATCGAGATTTAGTTCAAGCTCCAACTTCAGTACAAGCTCAAGATGAAACTCGGATTAGGAACTTGGCTCGAGCTAGCAAACATCCTCGACTATCATATTCTAATCCCCATCCGAACAGCAGCAGGAGCGGGGAAAGTCGAGATGGAAACAGAGATAAAAACAGAAAGAAAAATGGAAATGAAACCTCCAATGAAAACGGAACTGAAAATGAAACTCAAAACGCAACCCAAAATGAGCGATGCGATCCCAAGGATACATCTTCAGAATCTCCCCTCAGCACACCACCTGATTCCGTTTCCACTTCACCACCTCTCGCACCTCTTCGCAACTTTCCACGCTTTGGTTCTTTTTCACGGAGCCAGAGATTCGACCGGTCTCCTACAAGTAGTGCTAGAGCTCGAGGTGGACATAGCGCCGAAAATGGAAATGGAAATGTAACAGCAAGTA